GAAAGACTTAGGTTCTTGGTTTGAAATAACGGGAAAAAATACATGAAATACAAGAATAAAAAAAGGATATAAAAATAAATATATAAAGAAATATACGCAAAAAATAGAAGAAAAAAAGTTTACAGGAATATACAAAAAATAAAAACACATCCTTTTGTTTAAAACAATCGGCGTGCTTGCAATAACAAAAGCGTTTTCTCTCGAGATATGAACGCCAATATAAACAAACAAATAAATACATTACTCGTTTTAATATGCACCCAAGCACAAGTGCATCCCCCCCTTTGAGAAAAAAAAGAAAAAAAAGCAAAAAAAGTAAAAAATGTTAATCGTATCCCCCTATATCACCTCATCTAAGTTTCTCAAACACGTGTTTTATATTATCATTTCCTCAGGGGAATATGTCCCGTACTGTGTTACTTTACCCACGTAGCACATGCTTCCTTCTCCTATCTTTCTTCTTTTTCTTCTTCTCTCTTTACACCTCTCTCTTCCTTTGGCTTTTTCTCTCCTTTTACACCTCTCTTTTCCTTATTTTTCTCTTTCTCTCTTTACACCTCTCTTTTCCAGCAACTCTCTTGTCTTTTATTCTTTTCTTGCTTTCTCTCTCTCTCTTTCTTGCTCTGCTCGTCTCTCTCTCTCTCTCTCTCTCTCTCTCTCTCTCTATCTCTCTCTCTCTATCTTGCTCTATTTCTTGCTCTCTCTCTCCCTCCCCTCTCTCCCTCCCTCCCTGTCCTCTCTCTCTCTCCCGTCCCTCTCCTCTTCTTCTTTTTCTCTCCTCCCTCCTCCCTCCTCTTCTTCTTCTCCCCCTCTTTTTTACTCCCTCTCCTCTCCTTCCCTCCCCCCTCACCCTCTTTCCACTCATTCGTTTCTTGAAAGTTGCCTCAACGAGGCGACAATAGAAGCAAATAAATAGGTCAACAGTTGAGGACATCCCTCTTTGTAAAAGAACATAAAATCTTGTAAACAAACAACAACAACACTCCGCTACTCACTTTCGATGTCAGTTTTTCCTTTTTTATTTTATTTTTTCAAATCCTCAACCTCTCATGTGCTCTACCATCTCATCTTTAAGCACACTAGCTCTCTACTATCTATCTCTCTGCTCTCTTCTCTGCTCGCTGTCTCATCTCTTTCCTACTCACTCTCTCTCGGTCCTCTCTCCTGCGGTCCTCTGCTCTCTCTCTTCTTTTCTTTTTAAATCTTCAACCTCATCCCACCTACCCACCTCACAACCAACGGGCACAACAACCCTCTGTCCCCTCTCAACCAACAACAACCATCATAACAACTACATAACACCCTGCGACATAACCTATCAACAACAACCAACAACATGAGAGATCACACAACAGGACCCACCTGTCGACGAGTAAACCATTGTTAAACTGGCACACACTGTCTCGACAGAGAAAATGGTAAAAATGCAAGGATAATAGTGTGGTCATGTTGAGTAGGCGTGTGACTTGGGTCATCACTTGCATACAGCTGGTGCCAGAGGGTCGCCACAGCACACCAGAACGCACACACATACGAATTACATGACACGCAGCACATATCATCTTTCGCACCATAGAATTATCCCACATTTGCGTACGTCCATTAAGAGTTTTAGGGTGTTTATATATATAGGTACTTATCCACATTCCTATCTTTTATATTAGTTATCACTACATTTTTCATCTTATTATAGTGTATAGTTATTCTCTAACGTAAGGTTTTATAATAAGTTGGACTTATATAATATGTCGGGATATTTAGTTAAAAAAAATTAAAATTATATATTTATAGAGAGTGTGAGAGGAAGTCACATAAAGTCATGGAGGCGTTAGATGTGTACTACTATATAGTTTAGAAGTCTGGCGATGGTATTTCATGCACTTGGATGTGAATATTAGGAGTTCAGTTGTTTATTATTATTGCTCGATATTAGCATTTACAAACTATCACTCACATACACGTTCACACTACGCCGAACAATAAGCCACACCTTTTACCTTACCCACTTCGCATCGTTCACGTTTTTTTTCCTATCTCACACGCACGCACTCTTAACCACAATCACCTCATTAAACACATATTTTAACTTATCCTGCCTTATCACCATCCCCCCCCACTACCACTCATACCACCCTCCCTCGCACTCACTTTGTTACTCCTTTGCCTTTGTTCACCGCTCCACACCAGCATCCCCTCCTCCTCCCTCCAGCTCACCCACCCTGCCCTCCCTCGCCTCCTTCCGCACCCCCTTACCTTGCCTCCCTCGCTCCCCACAACCAACCATACAGACACACACCACACAGCACACACACATAGACACACTCACGCCTCCTCCTCACGCCTCACCCATCCCCCAACCCCTATTCCCTCCATCCACCCCATGCCCGCACCCCTCCCTCATGCTCACCTCCTCCCTCGCACCGGCACACACAACGGCCACACTTCACACCATCCACACCTCTCTCCCCTCCCTCCTCAACCCTTACCCTCACCCCACGCCATCCCAACACCTTTCCCTCACCATGCCCTCCCACTTACCGCCCCTCACCCCTCCGTCCCCATCCGCCAAAACAGCACACACACACACTCTTAAGACGATCTCAAGTGCGTCCCCTCGGCGACCGGCCTGCTGATCCCCCCCTCTCTCGTCTTCGGCCCTCATTCTTTCCCCAAGAGTAGCGCCACGATGCCGTGATATTTAATAGGATCGAATGGCTCTCTCTCTCTACTCTCTCTCTGGCTGCCTCATCTCTCGTTCTCTCTCTCTCCTCCTCACTCACTCCTCAATCTCTCTCTTGCTCTATACTCTCTCTCTTCTCTCTCGTCTCTCTCTCTCCTACAAACAACCAAAACCAACATGATAAACGGAGAGGAGACAGAGAGGAACAGGAGTAGGAGACGCGGAGGAGATCTCTGCTCACAGAATCATGACAGACCAGTAAGCAGTAGCGAGGCTCACATCCAGAGTAGACAGCGACCAATAACAAGAGTACGAGAGGATCCTCAGATATACCCGGAGATATAAGCAAGAAGATCTTCTGATTTGGTCACTTCGAGTCAAAGTAGAAGAGAGAGACAGAGAGCACACTCTCTCTCTCGTGTGTCTACTCTCTGCAGATCTGCGTAGAAGTCAGTCGGAGGTCTCTCGTCTCTCTCGTCTCTCACTCTGCTAAATGCGTCTTTTTTTCCCGGCTGAATGGGATGTGAGGAGAATGAGGAGTCAGCGTTTGGTTCGGGAGCTTATTTGGCCGGCATTCGTGAGGAGGTGGGAGGTAGGTGGGGCGGTATGTTTGTATGTGCAGTGGTGGTGTGTTTGTGTGCGTGCGCGATGTAGTGTGTGTGTAGTGTGTGTGTGTGTGTGCATGTGTGTGTGTGTGTGGTGTGTGGTGTGTGTGTGTGTGTTGTGTCGTTGTGTGTGTGTGTGGTGTGTGTGTGGATATTTGAGGGTTGTTATGCTCTGGCTCTATCTCTCAGTCTGTCTGATCCTGGTGAATACAACTATTGAAAGTTAGTTTAAGGTACTGGCTCTAATTTGTTATCTGTCTTTCGGATTATCTGTCTATCTGTCTGTCTGCCTGTCTGTGTGGTCTATGCTCTCTCCCTCTCCCTTTTGCTTACTCTAATACACATACCCATGCGTGAATATGCGTGCTCAAGATACATACAAACTAATCCTTTTCCCCACCCATACCATGCCAACCACACAACCCACACCCCTCTCACACCCACAGAACCTCTCCACACATGGGCAACCACATTCTCTCCACCCCACGAACAACCAACCACTCTCTACCACCCACAATCACACTCTCTCCACCCCACAACTTCTCCACCATGGACAACCACATTCTCTCCACCCCACGACAACCCCACAACCTCTCCACCACGAACAACCACACAACCACACTTTCTCCACCCCACAAACCTCACCAGACCCACACAACCACACCCCCTTACACACCAACCCAACTGGACAAACGGCCACGGGTCTCACCCCCCCCCCCCCGAGAGAAACGAGAGACCCTGCCCGATAACCACGCTTGACCTCCCTACCCTTGCTTGACCTCACCTGACCTCTCTCTTGATTGTGTTTACTTAGCCGCAACGCGCACACGTACCTGAAAGGAGAGACAAGACGGGCGGCCATTAGATAAGTCACAAATTAATGGCAATCCTGAAATAAGTATATCGAGAGTCGAGGAATAAGGAATAAGGAATCGCAAAGAATGAGACACACGAAGGGAGAACGTGTGCAGAACGTGTTTGGAGGAACACGCGGTGGGTTTTGTTTGTTTGTTTGTTTTGAAAGGCGAAAGTGAAGATATTTAGAAGGGTTTCGCTATGGATGGATGTGAGAGCGTCACCGGACACTTTTTAAACACTTTTAATTTTGCTTTTTCAACGGGCGTTATTAACTGCGAATTGGACTGTAAACAACTTCGCTTGTTATTCCATTTTGAAATTGAAAGGGAGGGTCGAAGTGTCATTTCAACCACATTCGATATTACTAAAATACCTATAATATCAATAAAGGATAAATAATAATCCGAGTAATAGTAAAGACAGTAATAACAATAACAAAAATTGACAACAACAACAATTAATAACAAAGAATAAGAAGAACAGCAATAAAAAACGTAAACATATAAAAAAAATCCACGTTTAAAAGTGGCAAACAACAATAACAATAAATAACAAAGAATAACAAAAACAACAAGAAAAACGTAAACATATAAAAAAAACACGTTTAAAAGTGGCAAAGGGACACAAAGACCCAGGAATAAATGACCAATGATAAAAAGATTGCAAGGGGCTTGCAACCAGATGGACGGACACCCACTTGTCAATTCCCCCACAAAAACACACACACGCACACGCACACACACACATACGCACGCTCGCACACTTACATACATACATACACCCAGGCAGACAAGCAAGCAAACACACGCATACAGACAGCCAGACAGATAGACAAACCTACGGACACAAACACATAAACATACAGACAAACACACACACACACACACACACACACACACACAAACAGATACACACACACACACACAAACACAAACACACACACACAACACACTCTCAACACACACAAACACAAACACACACACACACAAACCCCCTTCCCACCTACCCCCCCTACCCCTCTCCCTCACCACCACACATCCTAAAATAAGGAAAAAAAATTACATCTTTCCGTGCCTCATTTTCTTCCATGTTGGTTTTAGCTCTTTCTCTCCCCTCTCCTCCTCCTCCTCCACCTCCTCCTCCTCCTCCTCCTCCTCCTCCTCCTCCTCCACTCCTCCTCCTCCTCCCCTCCTCTCCTCCACCCCTCCCCTCCCCCTCCTCCCCGTCCCCCTCCCCTCCTCCTCCTCCTCCTCCTCCTCTCCTCCTCCTCCTCCTCCCCTCCTCCCCACCCTCCTCCCCTCCTCCCTCCCCTCCACCCGTCCCCCTCCCCCTCCTCCTCCTCCTCCTCCTCCTCCTCCTCCTCATCTAAATGGCGGATAATGCTTAAACGTGTACCACTGTATACGCCGTTATATACGTGGTAATTTTGATTTAAAATGACGTCACTCTTCTTGTGCCTTTTTAAAAAAATGTAGAGTAGAGGGTGGCGTGGGGGGGGGGGGGGCAGGACTTCCTTTCTGTCTTTCTTTCTCTAATTGTCTGTCTGTCTTTCTTTCTCTGTCTGTTTACGTCTATCTATCTATCTATCTGAATATATCTGTTTATATCTGTTTATCTATATTTGTATTTATCTATCTATGTTTGCATTTACCTATCTATATCTGTATTTATCTATCTTTATCTGTATTTATCTTATCTATTTATTTCTATCTATCCATATTTATCAATCTGTATCCATCTGCCTATTTATATGTGTTTCTTTTGTATCTCCCTCTCCCTCCCTCTCCTTCCTCTCTCTCTCTCTCTCTCTCTTCTCTCTCTCTCTCTCTCTCTCTCTCTCTCTCTCTCTCTCTCTCCCTTCTCTCTCTCTCTCTCTCTCTCTCTCTCTGTCTTTCTCTCTCTCTTTCTCTCTCTCTTCTCTCTTTTCTCTCTCCCCTCTCTCCTCCCTCCTCCTCCTCCCTCCCTCCCTCCCTCTCCCTCTCCCCACCCCCTCCTCCTTCCATCACACTCAAAAACGAGACGCGATTCGCGATTCCTCCTCTCCCTCTTAATCCAATCATATCCCGCCCCCTAATCCTCAATCCTAATCCCCCCCCCCACCACCACCACCCAATCCACGCCCAGAAAACCCCCTACCAGCTCTATTCGCCGCCCAATCCTTCTCTATGCGAGCGTAGGATGACATGCGAGGCTCCTGACAACTCAATCCTGGCTTTGGTTACTGTCTCCCCCACCTGTTGTGTGTGTGAGGGGGTGGGGATGGGGTTGTGGGGGTTGCGTGAGGGGTGGAGGGTTGTATGTTGGAAAGGGGGGGTGAGGAGGGTGGAAGGGTTGCGTGTGAGGGGTGGAGGGTTATGTGTTGGGAGGGGAGGGGGGGAGAGGTGGGGTGAGGGGTGGAGGGTTTATGTGTTGGGGAGGGGGGATTGTGTGGGGGTTTGTGTGAGTGTGGGGGATTGTGTGCTCTGTGTGTGTGTGTGTGTGTGTGTGTGTGTGTGTGTGTGTGTGTGTGTGTGTGTGTGTGTGTGTGTGTGTGTGTGTGTGTGTGTGTGTGCGTGCGTGCGTGTGTGTGTGTGCGTGGTGCGTGTGTGTGTGTGTGTGTGTGTGTGTGTGTGTGTGTGTGTGTGTGTGTGTGGTTGTGTGTGTGTGTGTGTGTGTGTGTGTCGTGCGTGTGTGTGTGTGTGTGTGTGTGTGTGTGTGTGTGTGTGTGTGTGTGTGTGTGTGTGTGTGTGTGTGTGTGTGTGTGTGTGTGTGTTGCGTGTGCGTGTGCGTGCGTGCGTGTGTGTGTGTGTGTGTGTGTGTGTGTGTGTGTGTGTGTGTGTGTGTGTGTGTGTGTGTGTGTGTACGTATGTGCGTGTTTTTTTTTTTTTTTTTTTTTTTTTTGCAAAGGGCAATTAACATCACAACATAATTGCCACACGATACCGAATGGTTTCCGTCAGATGCAGAGACCCAGCATTGTTCTACAAAAAACAAAAAAAAGCAAAACATACATGCCATCTGCAGCATAATCAAAACAAACAAAAAAACACACAAGAGAATAGAAAAAAAACACATCAAACGTTATATAAAGCAACATATAACATACAACATTCTCTCGTTCAACATATCACCCCCCCCCCCCAGTTTGCCCCAACCCTTTTCCCCTCCCTTCCCCCCACTTCACCACCCACCTTCCTTCCCCAAAACCTCCTACTTCACCCCTCCCCTTCCCCTTACCCAAACCCCCCACTCCCCTCACTTTACCCCTTCCCTACTAAACTCCCCTTCCCCTTTTCCAAACATCTTACCACATCCCTCCCTTTCCCCCTTCCCTTATCCACTACCCAACCACCTCTCTACCTCCAACCCCTCCCCCTA